ATAGCTACTTTTTTTGGAGGAGAGAACAGGATGGATTAAAAGATTCATAATTATATTGTATCTCAAAATACTCAAAAACTGAGGTTGTAAAATATGCCTAAGGATGCCAGAACTGCAACAAATTTCTTGGTACGGGAAAACCTACATTCTTAAATGGCATCTTCATACTGCAATTTTTATTCATTATATTTGTTAACAGTGATTAATCATAAAGCAAAACACTTGGGAGTTACCTCCCTCAAGGCAAACTGCTGAAACTAAGTAAAAGGAATTCCTATTCAAATTAAGAAAATCACCTTATTTGACATAATGAATAAACAATCTGTAAGTAGAAATTTATGTAATAATGTAAATTATGAAAAATTATTATTATTAAGTATTATTAATAAATTATGTAAAATTATGTGCATAATCATTGTTTGATAATGGTGTCACTGGTAATGGTTATGCTGTCACTATGTAACTGCTAAACATAATTATTTCCAAGCTTAAATGCATTTTAAAATAAACAAGTGATTACCTTTAATTACAGACAGTAATAAAGTTTAGTTAGTTTACTGAAGACCAGCTTGTGAGATATCATACTGTTGAGAATATTGATGGTGATGTATAGAATCAAACAGGAACATTAACAAATTCAGATGCTAGTTAAAGAATGCAATAAATTAATATAAGTTTGCATATTTAATGCCTACCATTTAATAATGATTTCAAAAGAAAAACTTTTAAATAATTCAATGAAATTTTTTAAAATTTTGACAAATAAAAAGATTACAATATTAATTGAGAGAAATTAAAGTAAATTTTTTGACTCTTTGAAAAATGGAATTAACGAACATCATTCATTTAATTTTAAAAACCATTACTCTTTAAAAATATTAAACTTAAAAAACTGCCTAAAAATTGGTCAAAAAGTTTTTCTTAATAGCTCTGAATATTTGAGTAGAAAATTCCAATTTTAGATTTTTTAAATTGTAAATAAAAATTACAGAAAAAAATTAGAAAAAGGAAATAAAGGAACTATTGTTATAAAAGTAAAAAGTCTTCACGTCATGGGCTTATCATGAGGACTTTTAAAATATATATGTCTCTTGTTTAGTAACAGAATAGTAATTAATTAAAAAAAAATAAATAAAAACAACCTATAAACCCTTTAAAACACCCTTCTTTAACCTTCTCTTTTGGAGCTTTCAGATATAAAAATTCATACTTCCAGATCTCTTTAAGAGGCTATTAATGAATTTTAAAGAAATTTCATTATCTTAAAATTTTGGTGAGAATTAGAATTTCTTATTTTTGCATTTCTATTTCCTTGCAAACTTTTTTTAATTCTGCTGATTTGGTTAATAATAGTATTTGCAACAACTTTTTTAGATATGTGTGAGAACATTGTGGCTACATCGATTCTTGTATCGTTATCACGCGCGAGCACGTGCGTCGAAAGGTATAAAAACTGGAAGGACAGGTTTGTCTCGCTCTTTTTTCCTCTTTCCCCTCTTGCTGCGTGATGTTGTGTTAGCGAGTGTGTGGGCCTTCGGGCCACACACACTCAGCAGTCGCCATTTGTTCCTGTCTAGTTTTGCACGTGGAATGTCGTCATATTTTGCAGAGAAAGAAGCAGAATGAAGAGATCCAGTACCTAAGGTAGAGTGTTTGATTTGAGACTCACTAAGTCCGGCTGACGTGAATAACATAAAATAAACGCTCAAGCAGAATATAAATAACTGTTCGACTTCAAGATGTGCTTGACCAGCGATGTGTCACTACGTGATGTTAAGTGTGTAAAAATAACATGAATGTAAAAAAAAAAAAAGAAGAGCTTACAAGTGTGTAACCAGACAGCGCGATATTACGAAGATGAATAAGACCACGTTTCAACCGCAAAATTATTCGATGGGACAGGATTGCGCGAATAGTCACGCTTCGGCACTCCACGAACATTCCATTTGAGTTATCGCATTGTGTGTATCTAAGTTATGATATTTTAGTATTTTATATGTGTGTGATAAATGTGCCTTATTTAATCCAGAAAATATGTTCGATAAAATAAATATGAGATTGAAAAAAGAAAATATTCGGCTCATGCATGCATCATTGGGTAAGTCTTGTTAATCTATTTAGTAATGATTATGCAATGTACTAAACACTAAATTTTAGTTTAAGTATTTACGCAAAATTAATTTGTATTTGATATTCTTAGTATCGTCACTTTTGGCGATCACGCCCGTAACACCACATTTATGGTGCCGTGACCAGGATTATAATAATGAAGGCACATTTATGGTGCCGTGACCAGGATAATAATAATAAAGGCACCACATTAATAAAAATTACAGAAAAAAATTAGAAAAAGGAAATAAAGGAACTATTGTTATAAAAGTAAAAAGTCTTCACGTCATGGGCTTATCATGAGGACTTTTAAAATATATATGTCTCTTGTTTAGTAACAGAATAGTAATTAATTAAAAAAAAATAAATAAAAACAACCTATAAACCCTTTAAAACACCCTTCTTTAACCTTCTCTTTTGGAGCTTTCAGATATAAAAAATTCATACTTCCAGATCTCTTTAAGAGGCTATTAATGAATTTTAAAGAAATTTCATTATCTTAAAAATTTTGGTGAGAATTAGAATTTCTTATTTTTTGCATTTCTATTTCCTTGCAAACTTTTTTTAATTCTGCTGATTTGGTTAATAATAGTATTTGCAACAACTTTTTTAGATATGTGTGAGAACATTGTGACAACAAAAAAAAAAAAAAAAAAAAAAAAAAAAAAAGGAATTTAAGTTTTAACTGTTTGATTTCAGGTAGAGAACCATTTTATGCTTATGCCTAAAAATATAACTACACATGTGATTCTAGTTTGATAATTGCTTAAATATTTTGAATTTTTTGATGATGTCTGATATCAAATAGGTGAATATTAGTAATGATTGGATAAAATTTTAAATTTTGTGTTTATCTGATATGAATTATTAAGAAAAAGTTGAAAATTGCATATGTAAAAAAAAAAAAAAAAAAAAAAAAAAAAAAAAAAAAAAAAAAAAATAATATATATATATATATATATATATATATATATAATTCCATATGACTGTTTTCCTGCTAATGTGAAATAATTTAATGATAAAAAATAGATATGTGAAAATGGTAATATCAATTCAAAATTGGTCAGTATGTAAGAAAATTGTTCCTGAATGTGTATCATATTGTGTGGTAATGAGTATGCAATAAACTGTATCCATGTGAAAAATTTCGATAAAAAGTTACAATAGTGTATTTATGAATGTACTATACATTAGAAGTAATAATAATAGTAATTTAGAGTGGGTACTAAAGAATAGTAAATTGATTTCAGAATGGCTAAGAAAAATAATGTAATGAATACGAGTCTGGCTACTGCTCTGCCTACGTTTTCAGGGGAGCATGACGAAAATATAAAATTTTTTTTAGATTCAGTTATGCCAAATGGCCAGTTTAGAGAACTGGAATGAGAACAGAAAAAGTCTGGTGTTAAAAAATTCAATTCAGGAGGTAAAGCATTAAAACTTGTAAATTGATAATGAATCGTGTAAAGATATGTCATTTGATAATTTAAAAGCATTATTACTAAGTAAAAAATTTTGCAAAATCTCAGTCATTTGACACAATTCAAAATAACTTTAACTCAATTAGACAGACCCCAGATCAGTCAGTCGAGGACTTAGCGGAAAAAGTGAATACTTATGCACAAAATATTTGGGTGCTATCCTAGTTCGAGTGAAGAGGTACATAACCTCACTCAAAAGCAATGCTTTCAAAATTCTTAGAAGCTCTCAGACCAGATTTAAGACTGGAGGTTAAAAACTAGGACCTATTGATTTGCTACTTGCTGTTAAACAGGCAAAGAACATAGAAAAAAACATGGAGGATTCTGGTAATAGCTCACAGACACAGGATTTTTCACCTGAATTAAATACATTAATTATGCAACAAATGCAAAAATATAGAGCCATTGAGGATTTGTCAAAAAAATTAATGAAATTTTACCTAATGGTAGTGTAAAACATAACTAGACTAGAAAATATGCTACAACAAAGTAGTAATAATAGAGAAACTTGTCATATTTGCCAACAGAATCATTGGACTACAGAGTGTCCTTATTTTCCTTCAACAATTTTCATATTATAGACAGGCTAAGAAACAACCACAGAAGAAATTTTTATAGGGGTAACTTTATTAATAGAAGGAATAGATATAATAGTCGGTATCTTTCACGCAAGGTAATAGACTACAGAACAGTAAAGAAATACGCCCACAATACAGAAGATACAATACTCGTAGAAAATTTAAACTAATGAAGGGTACTTGCAGATCTCCCAGAACACAAAGTATTACTCAAGTGCCCATAAAAAATTTGGGGGAAACAAGACAAAAGTAGAAATAAGGAACTCAAATAGCCGAATACATGAAAGATTCCGCACAAAATTAAGAAAAAATGAACAAAAATTGGTAGCTTCTTGCCAGACTAATAGTATCACAGAATTACCAGTAATAAATCAAATTGGCGACTTTGTGGTAAAGCATTACTTGATACAGGTGCAATTTAAGCTTAATACAGCCAGACACCTTGCAAGTAATAAAAAATTACACAAAGATTCATTACTAAGCGATCTGTAAGAATACATACGCTAAATAATGCTACTATCCCATATTATCTGCTGTAAACTTAAATTTCGTTTAGGAAATAAATGGCTTGCCAACTAATTTTTTGTACACAACATAATTGGAACACAAATTATCAAATATTTTAGGGTATGATTTCATTCAAAAAATAGATACTTATAGATGCAGAAAAAGTCAGTAATCATTGATAACACATATTTTGATCTTCTGGACAAACAGAAAAAATTTACCAAATTAATGCAAAAAAGGTAGATAAGATAGTAGACCAGAGAGTCGGGTATTGTAAAGTAGTATTGAATACCAGAATTGCGCCAAATACAGCAGAGATAGTAAAGTTAAAACCATTCCAATTATATGCAGAAGGAAAAGCAAATATGTTCTCACCAGACAGGCGAAAAGTGGGCAAGATAGGTGTGACTGATTCAATTCCTGAGATAAGTGACAGGCAAATATATTCACATAATTGAAAACAATTCCAATTCCGCAATTATTTAAGAAAGGGTGAAAGATGGTAAGGTACATAAAGTCGATGAAAAAATTTGAAAAACCTAGAGAGCAACAAATTTGCAGATTAACCATGTAACTTTAAAGAAATTAAAATAAAAAAGGAGGAATAAGCCCAGATGATTTTGATTAGTCATTTAGAAGCAGAACAAAAAAATAAGATGATTGAAATGCTCATGAAAAATTCAGCTGTGTTTTCAAAATCTTACACCACTCGGGGTGAGACTGATGCTGTCGTCGTGCCACAATTTAATTTATTACATAACTTTTCCAATTCAAACTAGACCATACACTATTCCTCGCATTGCTAAAAAATATGCCCAAGAGGAGATAGCAATTGTTAGAAGCAGGTATTATAGAGCCATCGACATCGAGTTACAGTTTTCCAGTAATTTTTGTCAAAAAGAAAGCACCACCAATACTGATCCTAGCAAATTAAAATTTAGAATGGCAGTAGATTATAGATATTAAATT